AGAGAGAGGTACAGTGAATTGTCCGATGCACACTGTTGGGACCTGAAGTTGCCCCCCAGAGGTGTTCATGTCGATGTTCTGCCCGGCGTTACTGGATGATTCCATGGAAGTTGAATTTAGGATGCTTGGTGGAAAAAGGCTTTTCGAAGCGTTCCCACATATGACACCAAATGCAACGCAATCTGGCTGCTCCTAGCTGGGGATGATTTGGCTTTCAGTAGATGATGGAGTTGGCTGATCTACACAGAGAGAATCAGAGAACCCAGGGGTGGTTATGCGTACCCTTGCCCCCGAAGGGTTGGGGTCTTTATATACTGGAGTCCTCGCGGGTTTCTCGGAGTGGTTCCGGGATCCTTGCCGTGATGAGGCCCGTTACCGAATTAACTAGAGATAACATCGCTAGCCGATAAGGCATATCGCTGCCGTTTGAATCAGTCGGAGGAGATATTACGAGGCGTGATCCCGTAAAACTTGGAATCCGGTGACGAGATCTTCGGGGTCAGCAAGTGGAGGTCGGTCAATATTACCCGAACCGATGCCCCCTGGGTCCGACCTGTTACGAACGCCGAGGTGCCTGGTAACCGAGGTGATCTTGATGCAATTGTGCCCCAAAGTGAACTTGTCCCGAAGTGGATTTACTTCTGAGGTGAGCCTGTCCTGAGGTCGTTCGGTTGTCCGAGCTCGGTCTATCGCAGACTTAGGTACATCGGGATGAGCTGTCGTCCTATCAGCTAGGTCGTGTCCATGTGTCCCTCTATTATTAGGTCGGGCCAAATCACCCTACATCAAATAGTACTAATACGTGAACCGTGAACGTGACCTTGAAATGCAGGAGGTGGACTAGGAGATGTGTGTGTCGAGGACTTGGTGGACCTTTTGGCCCAGCCAACTCATACCATCACGGGCCCAAGACCCCAAGAGGACGACCTGACCTGACCTGACACTGTGTGCTTTTGTGGACGGGAGGACGTGTGCATAACACGAGCAAGCGATGGTTGATGCTTCTCTCGCTCGCTCTATTTCACTTTTTCAACTCTTACGTTACGGTGACTGTTAACGCGGAGCTGTGGAGTGTTTAAAGTAAATAAAATATTCTTTCTTTTCAGTTTTAACAGCCGTTGCTAGTACATGAGTATTACGGTTACTGCCATCAAATATTGATGGATTTAATCTCCATTCCCCAATGGAATCTCTGGTCCAAGGAGGTCAAGAATCTAGAAAAGGCCCCCACCCGTTACCGGAAGTCTAGGCAACTGCCTCCTGTTTTAGTGGTCCCACCTCACCACCCCGAGTTCCGTAATGTCCTGAAAAATAACTGCCAGGTTGACGAACAGGTAAGCATATAAAAAAAGGAGCTCATATGAGATGGTTCATAGCCCATAGGCCCACCCAATCCCAGTCCACCACCGTAAACGGGTATTCATTTTGGCGCTTCCCTATTTTTTATGAACTTATATTCCTGTTATAAAAAATCAAGATCACTATTCAAAGCCCGGTTTGCCCCGAACCCTAGTCCAAGACCGATCTACTTGCTTTTTTTGAAAAAAAGAAATCGGGCAACCCAACTTGCAGTCCTAATTAATAGCTAAAATGACTAAATGAGGCTAATCTTATTTTTTAAAATACATTGAAGTGATTTGGGCAAATCCACGGTACATCTCTAGTTAGCAACAGAGCAAGAGCATAGTAAAAGACTAAAAGTAAAAAACTGAAAAGACAAATCACTCTTAAAGATGTGATCCCTAATGCCCTCCAAGCAGTTTTGAGTTTTCTTGGACCATTTGGTCCTCCATTTCTCTAGAGTACAGCAGTCGAGAAATAAGTAACGATACTGCGGGAGGAGTCACGCTGAATAATCTAGTAAACCCTATCGTGTCACTCATCCATTGGTTTTAAAATTGATGCACTTAAAAATGTTTTACTTTCTAAGTTATTGAAAGAATCCTGACCAATAGATGACGATCACGGTAGGGATCAAACAATTTATTAACGGTAACTGATTTCGCTGAATCATCGCCCATTGGCCATGTCCTGCACTTCCATTGGGTCTATAATACGAGTCTATTATTATCTGCAATGAGTGGCTGCAACCTGCTGGACACATGTTCATCATTCTTTATTTTCAAATGACAGTGATGCCCTTGCTCCATAGGGAAGTTCTGTGGGCAAATTCGGTCATTTTAGAATATTCTTCCTCAAGAGAAACTTCACATCAGCGCAACCAAAGGCACGAGGTCAGTCGGCAAGTGGTCGCTAATCATTATTAGTATTCAGAAAAACATTGGATTGGGGTTTTCAAACATCCACAGTGCGATCCAGAACAAGTCAATCCGGACGTCCGAAACGGAAGGAAAGAGAGAGGAAAAGAAGAGCCAATCATGGAGTTCCGGGTAAAACAGAAATGTCCCCTTACGTGTCTCTACTGGCATCATGGGTCTCTGGGTTTGAAAACTTGTAACACACGAGAATGCCATTTGACTCCAACGCCCTCGTCTAAGCATGCAAATTTACGTGGTCTCTAGAATCTTTGTCGCTTCGGTTAGGGTTATTTTGGTCCACCTGAAATTTCGTGCATGTAGTGGAAACTGGAAAGTTGGAAATAAGCGTGGTGGAGCCGCTTGGAACGATTTTCTGAAATCTCGCGGTTTGGCTGTACTCCAGGGTGAAAGCAAGAAGTGGCAATGCGGTCGTTAAAAAATCAGGCTACAAGACGGAAGCCTTGTGTGGGCCTGCCCTCAGTCTGGCCGTCCGGTGGTTTTTCAAAAATTATAAAGAACCGGGCCAGATAGAACTAGCCAAACCAAACAGCCACCCGTGATCCTTCGGGGACTTTCACCTTCTTTTTCGATTTTTAATTTTCTTCTGGGCGTCAAGACTCAAGACAAGGGCGACGCTGGTGCAGGTGTCCAATCAATGAATGAGCGTCAAATGAAGATTCTCGCTCGCTCGGGGATAAGGTTTAGCTCTGGTTGGACACTTGATAATTCTTTCTTTCTCGCTCGCCACTTTATTTTCTCGTGAGAATATACGTCACACGTAGCTCTTTCTCTTTTCTTTTTTAACCTACCAAATATACCTAACTTTTCCCTCCCAATTTTGGATTTCAAACATTGGCTATGGTGTACTATTCTATTCTTATAGGCATAGGCCACGGTCTACTAGCAAACATCTTCACCGTTAATTCTAAATTTCTAAGCAGTGTCTCATGTTGCACGTGTTGTAGGATGCAATGCAATGCCCCTTTGGGAGGAGATTGGCTTCTATCCGGACAAACCCGTGCCTCCACCGTTCTAACCAAGGTTTTTAAAACCGACCCCAACAACGAACCGGCCAGGGGTTTGGTTCCCGGGTCAGATGGTCCAACTGTTTGAATTGAACAAATGACTCGTTCTGACAAAAAAAATAAAAAAGTTTAAAAAAATAAAAAAGGTTAAAACTGTTGAACAGTTTGAACAGTTCAACCGCTTGGGTCAGCGGTTTATTGATCAAATCAACATTTTTTAGCAAAAATATGGTTTTGGGAAAAACCGAAACCGACCACCTAACCAATTGACAATTTTTCTGGTTCGACCATCCGATCTGATCCGATTTTGAAAACTATGGCTCTAACATTCTTTTGCAACTTGCATTGCGAATATCTGCCCATAAAATAAAATACACAAATACAGAAATATTCTCAATGCAAGACGGTAAAAGCTGCTCGGACGGACTTTACCTTGATCGAAGCCGAACTACTTTGGGAGGGCTTTTGGGAACATTTATTATTATTTTTTTTTGACGTTCTGAACTGGGTTACATATGGACATGACAGAAGCTGTGTTTGGTGAAAATCCAGAAAGCTTCCAAAAATTGGAAATGCAATTGAAATAGGAAGTTACTCCAGATAGCTTGTCTAGGACATTGTTATTCAACCACCACGGCTGAATCGTGGTACATCATCTCCACCATAGAAGCACTTCCAGATGGGTTTCTAAATTTGATACTGTTACTGTGTTGGGGTCTTGAATCCATTTAAGGGCTCATTTGGTCTGTGGAAACAGGGGTGTAGAATTGGCCCTTCATTTCAATTCGGATTTTGTTTCCTGTTTGAATCCAACAAGTAGGAGGAATAGAACATTTCGGTAATTAGGTTCTAATTCCAATGGATTTTGATTGTGATTTCTGACTGAGCAAAATGGATCCTAAGTTTGGGTGATTGAATCCATTCTGTATGTAACGTAAATAAATTCTCCACCTACATTTATCATGTAACAGTTATTTCCTTAAACGAAGAAATGTCCAATTCAAGTTGTAAAAATGTGAAAGAAACGGAAAGTCTCACCAGCTATAACAGCGGGGATCGGGGGATGTCTTCACTTCAATCTCGAGAGTTGAGGTACCTTGAAGATCTGAAAGGATGCCTAGTTGTTGCAGGCAGACTATATCCACGTGTCAATACGTGATATACCCGGAAGTCAAAGCTGGAAAACATTGCTCCCTCCCGGTGAACTTAATCACCTTGGTTGTTGCATTCACGTGAGAAAGTGAGAAATAATCAAACAACTGTTTTCTCGAGAAATTTCCTAAATTTACAGTCAGGGACAGACTAACGAACGATTTTGATGGTATCGTGGTTAGAAAATGATGAAGTTAACCTGCCATATATGACGTGGCAATATCTAACACGTTCGCTTGACGAAACTTCCTCGCGCTTTCCTGTTGGAATCAATATCACGATATTTTTAATAATAGCTTAATTAATCACGATAAATTTATACTTTCGACTCACTGAGAGAGAAACTAAAGAACGCTGCATGGACACGCGGCCGCCCGCCGCAGATTGACCCGGAAAGAGAAGATGAACGAGAAAAATTAAAAGAAAAGAAAAGCCTAAAAGGTAAACAAAAAAAAAAGGAAGAAAAACGAGAAATTGAAAATTGAAAATTGAAAAGATATTTTTCGGCCACAAAATCAGGTTCGGCCGGGTCACCCCTGATTTGCTCTATATAAACCTGCCCCGTCTTCCATGCAAATCTCGCCTGGTCTTTCCTTTATCTCCCACCTCTCTTGACGAAGAGAACCATCGAAACCCTAAACTCTTCCTACTCCCGCTCGCTTATTCCTTTTGTATTTCTTCTTTTCAGTTTCTCCTCTCGCCCGTTTTTCTGCTTCCACTAATTCGCCTCCGAAAGCATTTGATGTTTTGTTTTTGTCGGTTTCGTTGTTCTACGTTCTGATTTTCTGACTTTTTAAATCCTTTTTATATCCACACAGCGGGCTTGGTCTCCGTTTTCTTACCGGCCTTGATCTCTGCTTGATTTCGAGCTCCCTGTTCTTCTATAGATCTTCCATTGTCAATCCGTTCTTCTGAGGGTTCGGCGTGGGGATTACTGCGTTCTGTAAAAGCGAACTAGGGTTTCTTTCTCCTTTCCCAGTTCTTTACTGCTTCTTTTGGGGGGGTAGCCGGGGCTCCGGCCTCGGCGTTTTTCAAAGCCCCCTTCTTGACAAAGAAGATCTAGAATCCTAATTCTTTTCCTAACCCACAGACAGGGGAAGAGATGCCGGCCCTAGCATGTTGCGTAGATGCTGCGGTCTTCCCTCCTGGTTACGCTATTGCCGGGGATAGCTCTCTTCCCGCGCCGGAAGCATTTTCCGGCGTACCTCCGGCGACAAACATTACCCCCTCTGTCCTAGACCACTCCCCCTGGTCCCCATCCCTCTCGGCCTCTCTTTACAAGATTGACGGCTGGGGCGTGCCTTACTTCTCCGTCAACTCTTCCGGAAATATATCCGTTCGCCCGCATGGTGCCGAGACTCTCCATCACCAAGAGATTGATCTAATGAAGGTCGTGAAGAAAGCTTCCGAGCCCAAATCTTCTGGAGGATTAGGTTTACAGTTTCCTCTTATCGTCCGGTTTCCTGATGTCCTGAGGCACCGCGTGGAATCACTGCAAGCAGCTTTCGATTTCGCGATCCACTCGCAAGGCTACGATTCTCATTATCAGGGAGTTTATCCAGTAAAATGCAATCAGGACCGCTTCGTCGTGGAAGACATAGTTGAGTTTGGGTCGCCTTTCCGATTCGGCCTGGAAGCTGGATCGAAACCTGAGCTCCTCCTTGCGATGAGCTGTTTGTGCAAGGGAAATCCTGAGGCTTTCCTGATCTGTAACGGCTACAAAGACTCAGAATATATCTCACTTGCTTTGATAGCGAGAAAGCTTCATCTGAACACAGTGATCGTCATTGAACAGGAAGAAGAGCTTGATTTGGTTATTGAAAACAGCCGGAAGCTTTCCGTACGACCGGTGATCGGCGTGCGAGCCAAGCTGCGAACAAAGCATTCCGGACATTTCGGAGCAACTTCCGGCGAAAGAGGCAAGTTTGGATTGACGACGACGCAGATCCTGCGCTTGGTAAGCAAGCTCGAACAAGTAGGCATGCTCGATTGTCTCCAACTCCTGCATTTCCATATTGGATCTCAGATCCCTTCGACTTTATTGCTGGCCGATGGTGTCGGCGAAGCCGCACAGATCTATTGTGAGCTGGTCCGTCTGGGTGCCGGCTTGCAAGTCATCGACATTGGAGGTGGCCTCGGCATCGATTACGATGGATCACGATCGTCTGACTCTGACATTTCCGTTGGATACGGGCTTGAAGAGTATGCTGCGACGGTTGTTCAAAGCATTCGATACGCTTGTGACAGGAAATTCGTGAATCATCCAGTAATTTGCAGCGAGAGCGGGCGGGCAATCGTCTCTCACCATTCTGTTCTGATATTTGAAGCGGTCTCCGCCACTGCATCGAGCACGCCGACGATTTCTTCTCTTGGACCTGGTCTGCAGTACTTAGTCGACGGACTAACGGACGAGGCCCGTATGGACTACCGAAACTTGACTGCTGCAGCCGTCCGCGGAGAGTACGAGACCTGCTTGCTTTACGCCGATCAACTCAAGCAACGATGCATCCAACAATTCAAAGAAGGTTCGGTAGGCCTAGAACACCTTGCGTCCGTCGACGGTCTTTGTGATTTTGTTGCAAAGGCAATTGGGATGTCCGAATCTGTGCGTACGTACCATGTGAATCTGTCCCTGTTCACGTCAATCCCAGATTTCTGGGCAATTGAGCAGTTATTTCCAATAGTGCCCATTCATCGCCTCGATCAGAGGCCGGGAGTGAGGGGAATCCTATCGGATTTGACCTGCGATAGCGATGGGAAGGTCGACAAATTCATAGGCGGGGAGTCAAGCTTGCCGCTTCATGAATTGGGAGGAGAGGAGGGTGGTCATGGTGGTGGTGGATATTATCTGGGGATGTTCTTGGGTGGGGCTTACGAGGAGGCGCTCGGGGGATTGCACAACTTGTTCGGGGGCCCGAGCGTGGTTCGGGTGTCGCAAAGCGATGGACCGCACAGCTTCGCGGTGACGCGTGCGGTGCCGGGGCCTTCGTGCGGGGATGTGCTACGGGCGATGCAGCACGAGCCGGAGCTCATGTTCGAAGCGCTCAAGCACAGAGCAGAGGAATGCGGTGGACACGAGGACGAAATGGCCTGTGCCGAGCTGGCGAGAGGCCTGGCCCGCTCCTTCCACAATATGCCTTATCTCATCACAGCCGCGTCATGTGCGACTGCCAATAACAATTTCTATTATTACTGCAACGACGACAATAACAATAACAGCGCTGCTGTGGGCGAAGAAGAGCAGTGGAGCTATTGTTGTGCTTGAGTTTGGTTTTGGACCTGGTTATCCCCACAACCACCGCTTATTACCACCTATGAATTTGTGTGTTTGTCTTTGGAGGTCGTCTGTTTTTTGTAATTTTGTTTTAGTTAGTGTAGTTTTAACTTGTGTTCCGTGAAGAAGTTGTAAGCGCAAGTCCTCTTGGTTGGTTCTTGGGGGACGAGACCCGAATCCATCTGATGTAAATTCGGAATCTCATTCCCTCTTTTCTGTTAATTTTTTTTTTAATATGTTTTTCCCCCCAAAAAATGCATGAGGTCTTCTGCTTCTTTTATATATATATATATATTATTTTAAATTTAGCTATACTATAGCTTGGCTACATTTGGGTCTTTACAGTCGCATGGAAGATGAACTGATCAGATGATGGTGATATCAATATTCGTTTTTCGACTTTTAACGGGATTTTGAATTGAATATTCATTCTGGGTCTTTGCAAGGGCCAACAAGCCATTCTCATGGGTGCTTGTGGACGAGACAAAAGACTGAAAGTGGAGTCGTTAGTCATACACTTGACCAGATCCAGCTCAGCTGTCAAAAAGCTAGAAAGAGATGAGCCACTAAGCTCTTACTGGGGCCATGAAATAGGTTCCTATCTATTGGACTTTCACACACTAGGTTGAGTCAAAGTCAGTCTGCGACTGCGAGGTCATTAAAGGTAGGGTAAATTGGCCGAATTTGGGATTTGTTTTTCACGGTGATAGCCCTTGATTTGAGATTTTCTTTCGTTTCTTTTCTTTGTGTAAATGGGTAGAAATGAAAATCGGCACAATTTCGATACCTTTGCTCTCCATGAGATCTCACCGCACAATTTGGAGGTCCACGTTTTATCTTGAGGAATGGCCACTCCCGAGATCATTTTGGCTGTCCACGGGCTGTCTCCTCCCGAGTCCTGACACGTTAGCCCACAAAACCATGCATCTAGTGCCACTATTCTCAGGGTCTATTGCAGACCTAATCCAGTTAAAAAGACAATGTGAGTTTTTGCATTAAGATTTTAGCAGTTTGAATACCATTTAGTTAAGTTGCGTATATCCACATGAAGACACGACAAAAAAAATTTGAAAAATTCCATTTGAAGCTTCTTGAAAATAGCCCAAAATGGGTTTTGTACGTATTTTTGGGGCGGCATCTTTTGGCGGATAGATCTTTTTCCAACCAAACGGGAAAAAACTAAAACGCGAGCTACTATTCTTCTAAGTAGTTGGCAGCCCACGCAGAAAGACGTGTCGAACAGGACCCGGTACCAAGTAGTGAAAGACATATATGTGGTATATGAACAATAAAAGTTTTGTTAAAGACAAATCTATTAAAGTACCCCTAACTTTAGGAAAGTGAATAATTTTACTCCTACTAGATATTGTCTTAATGTATCCCAAGTTTTTAATAATTTATTAAATCCACACTGTCATTAATGTTTTAGGGAAATTGTCTAAAACTTACCATAACTTTTCAACATTTCTCTTAAACTCACGTAGCATCCACAAATTCATTAGTTGAGATTAAAGAACCTTGTAATTGCCATCATACATCAACCTTCTTCAACATAGAAATGTCCAAATTTAACTGATCGTTTAAAAAGAAGAGTCAAGAGACGATTCACTCCCCTCCTTCCGTAATCTTAATTGGTTCTTTAACTGATCGAGAACGGGTATCTAACACCTTTGTCACCAAAGCCAATCCCCAATCCCCTACCAAAGATCTTCAAGTTGGGCGAGTACTGCGCTTATCACCAAGGACCAGGACACTCAATGAACAATTGCACAATTCTTAAATGTAGCATCCAAGATCTAATCAATATTGGACAATATCCTTTAAAGCATAACTAAAATATGTAATCAAATTTGTAACATTTTTAAGAACTATGACTGGTCTGATCCCTCACAAGGGGTATATAGGTAGCCTGGGCAATGGCGCTTGGGTGTGACTCAAATAATCAAATAAAAATAAAGCTTAAGGACTCTCAAATAAACACTTTTTAGCATCTTCTCCTAAAAACCCTAGGCTTTCTACCCAGACACCCCCTAGGTACCATCCCTTACAGTGTAGGCATTACTTGTAGCATCTTTGTATTACTTCACTAACATTCGTTCCATGAATATTTGCATTCCATCTAAATTCTAATGCTCCCAATAGGAAAGATAACCACACCTACCAGAGATCAATTCAAAATCTAGCAAGAGATCGAAAAGCTTCAAAAGGCAGTGAACTTATTAACCTTTAAAGTTGATTGGCTAATATCCTACACAAGAGCAACACCAACATTTTTTTGTTTCAAATCCTACGCCACCACCTCAACCATCTAAGAAAGAAGTGAAGAAATTCAGCTTGTTACCTTGCCAACCTTCCCAACTTTTGCTCATCTTGATCGTGAAAGGATGCCTTCATTTGTTGTATTAAAAACCTCATGTGGATCCAAAGAATTTCAACTAGAAAGTTTATTGTGCCAACGTCTTAATGATGATGGCCAATACAACCTTGATCTCAAGCTTATGAACATGCTACCGCCTAAAGTACATTTGCATTGAACTTTGTTTTTCTTTGTGTCTTAAAGCTCAATGTACTAAGTTTTTTTTTTTTTTTACTTAATGAAAGTTTGTTTTCTGTTATCTGTCAATTTATGTTTGTATCTCAATGCTTACTCCTAACAAAACAACAAATTCAACTAGGTGCAATTTATCCTTCTACTGTCTAGATTTGATGATAAAAAATTTACAATAACTTCCATCAATATGTTTTTATGAAAAATTGGTTGTCAAGTGGAAATTCAAAGAAGAAATTTTTTGAAAAAGGGGACAAGCCCCAAATAACACATGCATTGAAGGCATAAGGCAATTGAGTCAACTTGCAACAGCTACTCCTGAGTCAGCATAAATGAAGGCATCAAAACCACTGTCATTTGTTGATCGATCAAAGAAAAGATTGGAGACCATTTTTGGCCAATCATTTCCCTTGGTCCCTTATCATTCATTGAGACGATAGCTAACCCGTTTGAGCCTTTCATTGAAACATTTTTTTGATAAAACCCAAAAGTTTCTAAGGATGCTTAAATCAAAAGGGCAAGAAAAAATCAAAAGGGTAAAATAAAAAGAAAGAAAAAAAAAGCATGAAGAAGAAGTAGAAATAACTAGGGGCAAACTCACTAAAGGGCCCCAACATTTTCAAAAGTAATAATTCTCCCTTGAGCGATCAATTGGGAACATGCTTAACATGTATTTCATCTCATAAATCATGCATACAATCAAGAAATGATAGGAGGCCACCTATTGGTCATATTACCTTGTCTTTAATCCACCTACCAATCCTTTCAGCCTCTTCTTCGACTAAATCCTTGTTTAAAGAGATAAATTTCAAATGTTCAAATGCCCTTACACCAAGTTAAAAAAAAAAGAAACAAAGTCAAAAGAAAAAACTAGGGCAACAAAATGCAAAAAGAAAAGAAAAAAGGGGGAAGAAAAAGAAACAACTAGGGTAGTCAAGCTAGTAAGGCTAAACGTCAAATCTCTGATTTCACTTTGCCCCCACCTCATTCTTTACCTTAATGTAAAGTCTTCCTGAATCAAGAAAGATGTATGACTCAGGGCATTGAAAGACATGAAATGCATTTCTCATCTAAAAGGAAAGAAAAAAAAGAGAAAAAAGAAAGAAGCAAAAAAATGTGTTACATGCCCTATTTGTCAATTAAAGCATCTAAAACTTATATCAAAAGAATATTTTGAACCTCCTATATTTCGGTTCTGAACCTTGTCCTAAGCCACATTTCGTCCCATCTAATAAAACCTCCTCGATCTTTGAGAGATTAGCAAGCTAACCTTGGGTAGACCTTTTTTCGTTGACAATGACGGAATCATGTGCAAACACCCAGATGATAAAAAAAAAAAAGATAAAAAAGAGAGAAAAAAGAAGCCAAACATAGAAACTCTAACAAAGGGAAAAAAGGCAAACAAAAAAAACTAAAACTAAAAATTGATGCATTCCAAATTTGGGGTAAGCATGAGAAGTTTGACTCAATGTTCAAATGCTTATTACAAGGATGGGCAATACTTTTTCAGCAACTCGTCAGAATTCAATCTCTATGCAAAAGGGCCAAATACCTCTTGCTCAAATATTTCCTGAAATGAATTTTCGCATCTAATATTTCTAAGGCACGTATCTCTAAAACCAATAATGTTTTTATTGTCAAATCTCACACCCCAGTAAGGGTGGGCATGCCCTTTTGAATGCCATTGTTTTGTCAGAAGTAAGCTTTAACCATCCAACTAATCATTGTTTGTTAAATTAAAAAAATAAAGAAAAATAAAAAAATGAAAAGTTCACTTGCATCCAAATTTCGAAAAATCTTTTACAAATCCAAAGTTATTTAAAAATCACGCATCCAAATCCAAATCATCCAATTTTCTTCCATCCAAAGCATCTAAAATTTTTCATGCAAATTTCCTTCATTATCCAAAATTTTTTATCAAAATTTCTTTCAGCATACACCTCACCTAAAGTTTTTTGCATCATCCAAATCCAAAATTATCTAAAAATATTTCCATCAAGTTTTATTTATTTATTTGTTTTTTTAAATAAAATTTTTATTAATGAAATATATAAGAAAAACAAACAGGGGAGGACATTGTTTGCCTAGCCCCAAAAGGACAAGAAAAGAAAGAAAAACAACCCTAATACCCTATACAGCAGAACTTAATAAATTCTAATATGAAGTATGTACAATAAATCATTGAAATAAGCATCAAGACATGGACGCGGAAGAACTTTTACATGATCATAGATGTTTAAGGATTCTCTTTTGACTGTATGATTTGAAAGAACATCCATCACCTGATTCCCTTCGTGAAGAACGTGTTAGAAAAAATATCAATTTATTTCATCCAAAATCATTTTTCACAAATTCATCAAATGGCTTTCATATAATTTGTCCAAACCCAAAAGTCTTCATCCGATTTTTTTTCATTAAATCCTAAATCTAATAAAAAATCCATCAAAAGATTTCACTTTGTGCGATTCCCTTTCAAGCATAATCTAGGCATTCTAAAATCCATAAAAAACTTTCACTTCGTGAGATTTGCCTTTAGGCATAATCTAAAATCCATCAAAATTTCATTAAAAGCTTTCATTTCGTGTGATCCGCCTTTGAGCATAATCTAAAGTCCATCAAAATTTATCAAAAGCTTTCGCTTCGTGTGATCTGACTTTAGGCATAATCTTAAATCCATAAAAAATCCACCAAAATTTATTAAAACCTTTTGCTTTATGCGATATACCTTTGGGCATAATCTAAAATCCATGCAAAATTCATTAAAAGCTTTTGCTTTGTGCGATCTACCTTTAGAAATGATCTAAATTCTATCAAATTTCATTAAAAGCTTTTGCTTCATGTTAGTCACATTTGGGCAAAACCTAAAATCCATCCAAGATTCATCAAAGATTTCGCTTCATGCGATTTGCCTTCAAGCAAAATCTAAAATTCATCAAAATTTATCAAAAGTTTTAACTTCGTGTGATTTGCTTTCGGACATAATTTAAAATCCATCCAAAATTCATCAAAAGATTTTGCTTCGTGCAATTTAACTTCAGGCATAATCTAAAATCTATCAAAATTCATCAAAATCTTTCGTTTCGTGCAATTGACCTTTGGGCATAATTTAAAATCCATCAAAATTTATCAACAACTTTCGCTTAGTGCAATTCACCATTGGGCACAATCTAAATATCTATAAAAATTAATTAAAGCCTTTCGCTTCGCGCGATCCGCCTTCGGGAGTAATCTAAAATCCATCAAGTTCATTGAAAGCTTTCGCTTCGTGCGATCCACCTTTGGGCATAACCTAAAATCTATGAAAATTCATCAAAAGCTTTCACTTCGTGCGATCTACCTTCGGGCATAATAAAAAATCCATCAAAGTTCATCAAAAACCTTTACTTTGTGCGATCTGCCTTTGGGCATAATTTAAAATTCATCAAAAGATTTGCTTCATGCGATCTGTAATTGGGCATAATCTAAAATCCATAAAAAATTCAACAAAACTTTTGCTTTGTGTGATCTGCCTTTGGGCATAATATAAAATTCATCCAAAATTCATCAAAAAGTTTTACTTCATGCAATTCTTCTTCGGGTATAATCTAAAATCCATCAAAATCATTAAAAGATTTTGCTTCACGCAATCCACATTCTAGCTTAATAAAAAAAATCTATTCAAATTCATTAAAATCTTTCGCTTCATGCAATCTATCTTCTAGTATAACCCAAAATCCATCAAAAGCTTTCACTTTATGGGATCTACCTTTGGGCATATAATCCAAAATTCATCAAAATCTTTCGCTTCATGCGGCTCACCTTCAGGCATAATATTGAGATTGGTCAAAAGTATTCACTTGGCATAATCCAAAAATTATAATTTAAAGAAATGTAAATCAATCGATAGTTTCCCCACTCATAGATAAATAATCATCTTTCAATTCATTCACATTCCAAAGATCAATTATAAAGTTCAACAATCTTTTGCTTCTAGTGCGTGGCAGTATGTCTAGAATTATAGAAGGTTTGGTAACTTGTAACCAGACTACCTTGTCCTCCAACCACCCTCATGGAGTCCAAACTATTACTAGAGGGATTAGACTTAGCTCCTATTTGATTTTACTTCTACTTCTTTTAAGAGCTAGGACCACACATTAAGTGGTTATTAAGTGCTTTTATGTGTTTGGTAGAAAAGTGGGGAAGTACTTTTTGTTAAAAGGAGCACTTCTTAAAAAAGTGACTTGAATTTGGCTTTTTTTCAGCATTTCTTGGAGAAGTACTTATTCCAATGGAATGGGATGAACCAGTCCCTAGTATTTTTTAATACCCAAAATACCCCCACACGAGAGTTTTACCTCCCTCTCCTCTCATTCAAACATAATGAACCAAGTAACGGCACACCCAGTTACAGGTCCACCAGCAATGATTAACGGTGAAGAAAAATGGCTGGTGGACCTATCATTTTACCATTTTCTTACATTTTATGTAGTTTTTCTTCATATTAAGCCATATTTCTTGTTTTTTTTTTTTTTTTTTTTTTTTTTTTTTTTTTTTTTAACTTGAAACTCCCCTATTTGATGTGTTTGTATATCTGCAATTTGGAAGAATTTAATGGCGACGATCTCACCGTCCAGCCACCAGCGACAAGGAGGTTAGTTCACCCAACTCCTTCGCTCCATGTCTGGTGTTCTTTTTTTTTGTTTTTCTGTATGATTATTTGTCTAATTTGAAAATATTTTGGTTTCATATGAGAAATCCAAATTTTTTTGTTGTTAAAAATCAAGCAAAATATTGCTGAAGTTGGATGAATATTTGGTTGCATTTTGATGTTTGAATATTTGTGATGTTTTATTTTTTTAACTTCTAATTAATTTTTCATTAAATCCGAAATATTTGCATGTTTTTTTTTCATTGTCTATGTTATATATTCCTTTGCATGAATAGATTTTTTTTTTATTTTCTTGTAAAAATGATGCAAACACGTGTACTTAATATTTTCTTGAATAATCAAAATTTCATTTTTATGATTTATTATTAACACGTGTACTTAATATTATCCTATTTTATATTTCTCTAAATTCTCATTGGTATTGATGATATTTTTTGTGTTTTTTTGAATAATTCGAATTTTAATTTGTTGCATTATCCTATTTTATTTTTTAAAAAACGATATTGGTGGTGCTTTTTTTTATATTTTCTTGAATAATCAAAATTTCAATTTTTAATTTATTATTAACACGTGTACTTAATATTATCCTATTTTATTTTTCTTTAAATTCTCATTGGTATTGGTGATCTTTTTTGTGATTTTTTTGAATAATCTGAATTTTAATTTGTTGCATTGTCCTATTTTATTTTTTAAAAAGGATATTGGTGGTGTTTTATATACTTTATTGAATAATTAAAATTTCATCTTTTGATTTATTATTAACATGTATACTTAATATTATCCTATTTTATTTTTCTTTAAATTCTCATTGGTATTGGTGATCTTTTTGTGTTTTTTTAATAATCTGAATTTTAATTTGTTGCGTTATCCTATTTTATTTTTTAAAAAGGATATTGGTGGTGTTTTTTATATATTCTTGAATAATCAAATTTTCATTTTTTGATTTATTATTAACATGTATACTTAATATTATCCTATTTTATTTTTCTTTAAATTCTCATTGGTATTGGTGATCTTTTTGTGTTTTTTTGAATAATCTGAATTTTAATTTGTTGCATTATCCTATTTTATTTTTTTAAAGGATATTGGTGGTGTTCTTTATATTTTCTTGAATAATCAAAATTTCATTTTTGGATTTATTATTAACATGTATACTTAATATTATCCTATTTATTTTTCTTTAAATTATCATTGGTATTGGTGATCTTTTTGTGTTTTTTTGAATAATCTGAATTTTAATTTGTTGCATTATCCTATTTTATCTTTTTTAAACAGGATATTGGTGGTGTTCTTTATATTTTCTTAAATAATCAAAATTTCATTTTTTTGATTTATTATTAACATGTATGCTTAATATTATCCTATTTTTTTAAATTCTCATTGCTATTTTATTGTCAATATTAACATAATTATTATTACATCAATAATTATAACTTATAGGTTATGGCTAGTAGTCAAGGGAAAAATGGGGGGGGGGGTTCTCGAGCTACAAGGACTCTTGAACTACATAAAATTTGGGTGGACATATGCTTGCAACAAGTCATTACCAGCCACCGAACCAATACTACATTGGATAGACAAGGATGGGAAAATGTGATTCAGGAGTTGAATAGGATAACAAGGAAAAACTACACCTAGAAACAAATGAAGAATCATTAGGATGCGGTAAAGAATGAGTAGAAGATATTCCATAAACTGTCAACCTATACCGATTTGGGTTGGCATCCAATGAACAAAACATTCACTACTAGGAATGACTATTTGAAGGTATGTTGTGATTTAGCATTTTAATACAATAAACATGTAGGTTAATCATTTTGTTAGGCAAAACCTTACATAGTTATATACTTGTGTGATAGACATACCCTGATGCGACTTAGTTTAGATACAAGGGTCTTCCCCATGCAACAGATTTGGACATCATATTTGGTGGCATAGTTGCCCATGGCTACGATAGTTGGGCACCAAATGAGGGTACACTACCGGAGGTGGTATCATTAACCCAACCAACTCTAAATGATGACCGGATGGATAAGGAATTACAACATGAACTAGAGACACCCATGAATGCATCCGAAACAGTGTAGGAGGCTGAAAGGGGCCCAACAAACACTCACTCATATAGAGTTGTCAACAAAGACATAGGGGTGAGTATCAGCTCTACCAAGAGAAAGAAGATAACGGGTTCTATATGGATAAACAAGAATCTAGAAAGAATTGCCACTGCATTTGAGCTATCAACTGCTCATAAAGTTGGCAAGGGCACGAGGCTAAGTTCTATGGAACATTGCATGAACCTCCTAAATTCCGTGACTTGTTTATTGCGATCGGGTCTCTTGCCTTACGATTGAAAATGATTAAAGAGTTGTATGAGTGCTCCTATAGCGTGTAAAACTTGTTTGCATCAACCCGTGTTTTCTTTTTTTTTTTTCATATAGACTTGAGAACTTGAGTACTCTTCATTTTGCCAAGTATTTCTTAGGATTATTATTGTTTGACTTGATTTGCATTATAATGTTAATTAAATGTGTGTTTTTCTTTTATATTTTCTGCATTTTTGTCTTCCATTCTATGATTATTAATTTTGTTTGTCTTTACTAAATTGCATGGTAGTGTAAGAGATGGCTACTGATAAGGAAACCGAAACAAAGACTGAGGTAGTATCGGATACCAAGTCAGATTCCGATAGTAACTTACCTTACAATGGGGTGATGGATACTGATGAGGAGCTTGAGTGCATTATGGAGGTTGCCTGTGTGGTGGGTGAGTTTTACTATGATACTTGGATTCACAAAGAACCCAAACACACCATGGACTGTATTGGAGCGGTGTACACAAAATCTCTCTTTGAAGGGCATGATGGCCAGTTGGACTTTGTCGTATGAAAAAGCACGTATTTATACAATTGTGCAATACTCTAAAAGAGCGTGACCTCATTACAAACAGTCGAGATATTTCGGTGGAGGAACAACTAGCCATTTTCCTTCATGTTGTTGGATATAATGAGAGGAACTGGATGATGCAAAAATGGTTCCAACATTTTGGCGAGACAATTAGTCGCTTTTTCAATGACATGTTGGTGGTGATAGTTAAGCTTTCATTGTCTATAATATGCCCCCCAACTTTGACATTGTCCATCCACACATCTGCTAGAATCCAAAATATTGGCCATATTTCAAGGTAGCATTCACACACTATGAACCCATTTTAAAACTACATCATAAATGGATACTGAATGCTATCGTTTTTTTTTTGGTAGAATTGCATAAGGGTTATTGATGAGACACATATATCAACGTCGGTTCCTACTAATTAGCAGACACCATACCAGCATTGGAAAGGGCCTTGCACACAAAATGTAATGGCCGCGTGTGATTTCAACATGTGGTTTACATTTGTCCTTGCTGGATGGGAGGAAACTGCACATGACTACCACATATTTGCAAAAGCCATACATAATCTGAAATATAATTTCCCACATCAACCATAGGATATGGCTGCATACATTACAATTTGTTGTAGGTTATCTAAAGTTGTGTAAAAAAAAATATTCATATTCCCATTCTTATTCTCAAGTAAGTATTATGTTGTTGATTCTATGTACCCCAACATTGCTGGCTACATGGCACTGTACCGTAATACACGTACCACTTGCCTGATTTTCGAAGGGGAGGACAACCTACAATAAAGGAAGAGTACTTCAATAATGTCCATACCTCGTTGAGAAGTGTCATCGTGCGAAGTTTTGGTGTGTACAAGGCTCGATTCCCTATCTTGAAGTGTATGCCATGCTATCCATTAAGAACACAACAGTTGATAGTTGTAGCTTACATGACAATACACAACTTCATCCGGGACAACTAGGACATAGACACCCTATTTAATGAGTTTAAGAATGATGAAGAGATCGAAATTCAACATCTGTCTGATACAAATGGTAAAGATTTTGATGGTTACTATTAGCGGTGTGGATCAACAATGAGAGATGTTGCTACTTAGTTAACAACTTGCTGATGCAATATATGCTAACCATACTTAGCCACCATTGAGGAGGCAGAGATCAACATAACCCATGTTGGTGGTCATGGTCTTTGTTTCTTTCTAGTTTTGATAAACATTATGCATCGAATGTGGATGTTTTTGACTTTAATTTATGTAGGAACTTTGTGTTTTAGATACTTGATGTTAATCTAGTAGTTGATAGTATATATTATCTCATTACAGGTCATTAATAGTTAGTAGGAAATACTATGTATTGTTCATTAGTCGTCGCCCAAGTATATATGATACCTGGGCCGAATGTAATTTGCAAGTCCTTTGGTACAATGGTGCAATGTCTTGCTCATAAAACATACGAAGAAGAAAATTGTCAATTTTGTCATTTCATGGCTTCACATGATTCTTCAGCTACTGGGCCGTCTGAAAGGAATGATGCATCCAGATTAACCTGTGTATTGGGCATCCACGTGTGTTCTATTAGTTGGTGTAATTACACTTGGCATGTTGTACATGTCCAAATGAGATGCAATTTTACAAATATCTGCACTTTTATGTTACTATAGGACATATTAAATGAATATGGACATGAAAGTAGTTTGTGAAAACTGCTCTTTAATTACATTTTCTAGTAGTATTTTGTGAAAACTACGCCTTGAAAGTACTTTATGAAAATATTTTGTGAAAATTGTACCTTAAAAGCACTTTTTGGAAGTATTTTCTGAAAATGCACCTCAATTGTGCTTTCTAGAAGTATTTTGTGAAATCTATGCCTTGAAAGTGCTTTTTGGAAGTATTTTTGTGGAAATTGCACCTTAAAATCACTTTCTAGAAGCATTTTGTGAAAACTACAACTTGAAAGTGCTTTCTAGAAGTATTTTATGAAAGTTGTGCCTTAAAAGCACTTTCTGAAAGTATTTTGTGAAAACTGCACCTTGAAAATGCTTTTTGGAATCATTTTGTGAAAATTGCGCCTTAAAAGCACTTTCTAGAAGTATTTTGTGAAAATTGCACCTTGAAAGTGCTTTCTATAAGTATGTTGTGAAAATTGTGCCTTAAAAGCACTTTTTGGAAGTATTTTGTGAGAATTGTGCCTTAAAAGTGCTTTCTGAAAGTATTTTGTGAAAATTACGTCTTAAAAGCAATTTCTGAAAGTATTTTATGAAAATAGTGCCTTGAAAGTACTTTCTGGAAATACTATTCAATATTTGTTAAGTTATTATTACTGTTATTTATCAATATTATTCATTATTTGTTATTATTATTATTATTTATCAATAATATTTATTATTTGTTGTTGTTGTTGTTATTATTATTATTATTATTATTAATTGGGTCCACATGGCACTTCACGTGTGGGTCCACATGGGCTCTCAATTGTCATGATGTGGCATTTTTTCATTAAAATGTATAGTATAATATGTAAAAAGCATTGTATATATGTATGAGTGAAGTGAGGGTTAAAATTGTCATTTGCGTCAATATAAGCACTTATGGGGAAAGTAGTTTACCAAACATCCCCACCCCAATAAGTGCTTAAAAACATAATAAGTGATTTGGCAAGTGGGTCACCAAACAACCTTAAGTGGTTGTTAAAATAAGTATTTCTAAGAAGTACTTGTGCCGCATAGTACTTCTTCTAACAACCACTTAATCATTAAACAGGGCCTTACTTCAACACCATACACTTGCACCACATATATTTTATCATTTGATTTGTCGATGTTTAACGCATTACCTATCAGAGCGACATCATGCGCTACAACAATCCATATTAACTTAGTAAACTTCATTGAATATCAAAATCAAATAACTAATTTGAACATGAAAACCTGTTAAACTTTCATTAAATAACAAATTCAAAATCCATATAAACTCAAAATCTATAAGCTTTCATCAAATTACTAATTTGGACTTCCTAACACCAACTACCCAAAAATCAAAATCCATAAAAACTTAACAAGCTGCATCAAATAACAAGTTTCTAAACTCTATCAAGCCCTTTAAATCAATACATCAACCACTAGCGCAAGCATTAATCAAAAGTCAAAATAAAACATCAACTAATACTAGCTATTTGTCAGATGGCACCACTGTGTTTTTTTCATGTTTGTATGATAGTTGCAATTGCCTTCCAGGGCTTGGGATGGTACTATACCTTCCAAGCAAAGGCTTTGCACCACATCAAATTTTACCTTGAGTGAAATTCTAGCAACAAAATTTCCTCCTCTAACTTGTTCTCTCTTACAAAAAACTCTATGTGCTTCTTTTTCTTTGTTGTTCGACAATTTACTACCTCCAACAAAGAGGGGCAGTTATCAGCACTCAATTTTTGCTCAGCCCCTTCACCCTACCTCTTTGTACTATCCTTTTAGACCCCAAAACTTGGAATCACAATCAGATCAAATTGAGACTTTACAAGGCCAAAAATTCATCTTTTGACATAGTCCATAAGACAAATGAAAACCTCGAGATTAACATCGACGTCCAATTAAATATGGCTTACAGACTTAGAAAATTATAAATTAGTCACACATGCACAATTTATCATGCCAACTTCTTTTTTAACGGCCCTAATCAAATGAATCCATTGCCTTAAGATCATTAGGATACAATCGACTAGCGAATCTCACTACAATTTTACAACGATCAATCTTTAGAGTGTCCGAATCCCGTTTTGATGGTCCCGCACAACTAGATTTAGAAAACCTAAATTAACCATTTCTTTCTCAAACTTGACTCATCACCTTAATCCGTGCCTACCCACCAAATATCATCACAAAACTCTCCCGTTTTACTCGCCATCAAGCGTCATGACCAATCAAATCTTATTAAGTAGAGCTTATCATCCATCATCCCAACTTCATTTGACCAATCAAACCTCATCACTATGTTTGTAAACCTAAAAAACCCTAGCACATCATATTTCACAACCAAACTCCTCCATTTGATTGTTAAAAAAATGGATTCCATTTTAGACTGTCTCGTTAACTAATAAACCATTTACCAAAACCAAATATATCAATCCAAACCTTTGATCAAAGATCCATTACTTCCATCAAATTCAAGATGTTCGAAAATGCCTACCCACCAAATTTCATCCCAAAGTTCCCTCGTTTAACCCTTCATCAAACAAAGATTCCATTTCAACAAATATCATTGATCCTAACTTGTCAGCCATATATCTCCATCATCTCAAACCTATTTGGCCAATCAGACATCACCACTATCTTCAGAGACTCAAAAAACCCCAGCACGTCAATTTTATGTCATCATTCACTCGTTCAATCGTTAAACAAAGAACATGCCATTATGATATGCCAGATCGAATCGCCACCTCATCTAACCCAACCTAAAACCTCAAAAAGGTGATGGCAGATGTTAGACCCATTCTTAACATGTTTAAACACTTGGACCAATGAAATTGATCTTAATAAATCCAAAAAGTCAAAAACACAAAGATACCCCCACTTAAAACTGAGAAAAGATAAAACCACATTTGAAATTTCATTAAATTTATATTTTCTGCCATTGACAACCCTAAATATGAGACTGCCATGACAGGCACGCCTAATCTCCCATTGGACACACGAAACCCATGAAAACCACCCCCAAATCGAAGAAAACATTTCACCAAAGAAGAAATCTTGACTGAACACCTTTTTCTTTGAAGAATCCTTACCTATTTTGTGAAAAAACTTTCTTGAAGCCTAGACCCTGTGATTGGACGAATTTCAGATCTCTTTCTCTCCATTTCTATATAAATACTGATCGAACTCGAGCTCGAGGGGGAGGCCCCTAGAGAGAAAGAGAGGTAGGAGAGAAAACTAGAAAAAGAGAGATTTAAAAGAGAAGAAGAGGAGAAAAGAGCATTTTATCCAACTTCTGTAATGTCTCAATTTACCTGAAATCCCAAAATCCTTAAAGATCAAACTTCAAATCTGCCATTCTATTTTCGACTACAAGATTTGAAACCAAAAAGCGCACCATCCATCTCATTATCTCATTCAAGCTTCTTTGAACTTGTTCCCACTATTGGAAAACTCCCGTCAAGGTTGTGCACGAGAGGTAAGTATCTCATTCCATCATTTTCTCTAATTTTGAATTCATAAATCTCTGTTATGAACTTAGTTATAGGTTGCTTGAGGTCCAAAAACCATGGAAAACTTGCATTTCTGGTTTCATCTAGATTGAGAAGAAGAGGAAGAGAGGCGAGGGTCTTAGGGAAACCAGTACCTAAGACCCGATAACATCACCTCAACTCAATTCTAGGTAAGGTTGGGTGCATTTTCGCCTAATTTTTAGAGCTCTAAGCAGCCCTTTCCCTTGGTGTTTTATTAGAATTTGGGCCTGAACTGCTCCCATATTAGGCTACGGCAACAACTTAGAGAGTGGGGTGCCTAACATCTTCCATCTCCCAATCATTGGGATTCAAAATATCTCGGTTAGGTGACTTTCCTGATGAAGAATGGAGTCACTATCAAAGCAAGTAAATCGATTTCCTAATCTAAAAATGAGGGACCATTTCCTTTAAAAAATGTGTGGCGACTCCATTTCTTTGAGTCAGCCATGAGCTTTCCAGAGCTCACAGGCGCTTAGACCTTTTTAGACTTTTCTAGGTTTTATATATGGGGTAGTTTGGTTTTTGGCAGTTTCTGATCCTTTTGGAGTGATCGATTTACTTTTCTCTCTAGTAGAAGGGAATTTCTCTCTATATATGTTTTTCTTCTTCTGGAAAGGTTTGTACCCTTATATGTGAGATTAATTTGATCTTGGAGGCTTTCTACCTAGTTATTTTTTATTTTTGAATTGTTTGAAATTGAAATGAAGAGTTGAAGTGCTAGCAGAAGTCTACTAGTGACATGGGT